CCCCCCCCCCCACACACACATCTTAAAGTCGCCAAGTTTGAAAAACACTGATCTAAAGGATCTTTAGATCTTAATCTAAAGGATAAACCTGTTCATTTGAAGGATGGCAAAATCCAAACTGGGCTCTGCCTTTCCCTCCCCCTTCCCACCCCGCCCACCCAGGTGGAGTCTTCGGTGGCTGTGGGCACGCCCGATTATATCTCCCCAGAGATTCTGCAGGCCATGGAGGACCGACAAGGCAAATATGGCCCCGAGTGTGACTGGTGGTCCCTCGGGGTCTGCATGTACGAGCTGCTTTTTGGAGAAACCCCTTTCTACGCTGAGTCCCTGGTGGAGACATATGGCAAGATCATGAACCACGAGGTGAGTGAGCCGGGCACGTGGATAAGACAGGACCTGGGAGGCAGATGAATGTCGCTTATCCAAGAGACTGTGGATTTTTAAAGTTTTACTCACTTTTTTGCGGGTGCTTGTGCAGAAAAGCTTCCAAAACATGAGTTTGCAATTTGTTTCTGCATGCATACTATCGAGGAGGCACGACACAAAAGGAAAATGGATGAGGAGGGAAGAAAAAAAGTTAAGCAATTAGGACCAGGAAGAAGTGCAGGGTGAATGAATGGCCCTCCTTTCCATCTCTGTTGTGAAATCTTCAGATTTAGGAAATGGGGAGCTCACTCGGGATAGGACACTTGGCAACCCGGAGGACCACTCAGTACCTCTTCCATTTGTCTGGCTCAACAGCTGGATTTTGCACCCATTCAGTAGCTGATGGACCACACTGTTTTGCCTTAGGCAGAAGGTTCAGGCAGCTCCCTCCCTGAGTCAAATTATCTGCCAGCCCTGGGTGCGAATGTTTGCCTTTTCCTTCACAACGCAGCTTGGCTTACTTTCACAAGTCATCTCAGATGATCACACTGTGGGGTGTTTGTTCCCTGTCCGCTAGTGGCACAAAGCTAGTCAGATCTGTGTGGGGTAGAGTGCCAGTCTCTTCACCTGTTGAATGCAGGGCGAATTCTAAGGGGCGTGCATCCGCTCTCTCGTCATTCCGTGCTTCAGCCCCCTTCTGTTTGGCCTCCACGATCCCAGATGCCCCCGGGAACTTTGGTTTCTGGAGTCCCCGGCAGAGCACAGCACCTCCTACCGCTCCTAGCTGCCAAGGATGCCAGCTGAGGTGCCTGGTGATCCTTCATTCCCACCTCTGCTTCCTCTTCTAGGACCATCTGCAGTTCCCACCCGATATCACCGACGTCTCGGAGAATGCCAAAGACCTCATCCGGGAACTGCTGTGTCGCCGAGAGGTCCGCTTGGGCCAAAACGGCATCGAGGACTTCAAGCGCCACCCTTTCTTTGTGGGCATCGACTGGGACGACATTTACGAAAGCCCCCCTCCCTACGTCCCAGAGGTGGCCAGCCCAGCCGATACCTCCAACTTTGACGTCGACGACGACACCCTAAAAGAATCGGTAACGGGCGGGCATCAGACCATGGTGGTGCTTGCGAAGGAGGGCTAGTGCAAAGCAGCCCTCCCCGCCAGGCTGGTGGAGGAAACGTGGGGTCGGCAGGACTGCCCCAGCTGTTGCCAAACCGCGACCCACCTCCCTACATGAAAGAGGGGGTGACCGCATTTGAGGGCTGATTGAAACTTGGGAGGGCGCAGGACAGAAGGGAGTTTCTTAAAAGAGATGCCGTGGCACGCTGGCATCCCAAGGAAGAGCTGGTGCCCCCGCTACGCTGCAGGGTCCCTTTGTGTACTTCTTCAGATGAGGGCAAAATGGGAGGCCCAAGAATGGACAAGGGTTTGGGGAAACTCATTCCCATCACAGCCATGCTGCTCCCTCCTGAATAGGGCTCCAGTTCTGTTTCTTTTTCTGCCACCTTCCACCCAATTCTTTCTAGACTAAAAATGCCAGGAGTCAGATTTGGGACTTAGTGCAAACCAAATTGGTTATACACCTAATGCTGCACTAAAATCTGCTTTGCAATTTTGCAGAGGTGTTTTTTTTTTGCCCCTGCAAAAGAGGCTTCCGTTTTTCTACTTTATTCCCAGGCAGCTTGAGAATTTCTCTCCAATTTCTCTGGCTGGGGCACTTGAAAAGAGTCATTGAGTGGGTAGGGGCAAGGGGGCGACTAGGGGTTTTCCAGCCTCCCTGGAAATGGTCTTCAGGTTGTGAAAGACCTGTAGGTTGCTTTTTTCCCCCTGGGGTCTTCCCTTCAAGGAAGCTGGGGGGCTCTAAGATGGTTGTGTAATCGAAAGAAGGACATTCACACCACCCCTTTGGCAGGGAATGAAAAGGGAGGGAGTTGGGGGGGGCTGCAGACTATCGGAAAGGAGATTGTGCTGTGAAGCATTCCCACCCCCACCCCCCTTGGTAGTGGCATCTGCAAGGGGGCATATGATGAAATGTTGGTCACGACGTAGCATGCAAATGCCATAACTTGACCGTGTGCATCAGGTGCCAGGACACAAATACATAAATGCAGCCATTACGGAGTGACGTTACTCTGCGGGTGGTGTCGTTTTGGCATCGTTCTGGCTGGCTGCAGACACTGCTGACCGGTGCCTTTCGCCCAGGAGAAGGGGACCAACTGAACAGTTAAAAAAATGCAGGACATTTCAGAGCAGTGTTTCTCAACCTTGGCATCTTTAAGATAGGTGGACTTCAACTCCCAGAATTCCCCAG